CAGCAACGTTATGCTTGGTCGCCGTGCGTGCGGTTGCGATGTGGCTATTCCTGCGAGCTTCGAACACAATATTGTTAAACGGCATTATTTTACTTAACTGCTTGACCTCAATTTACTCTCTAATTAAGCACACTGCACGATGTGTGCGGATTATAAATAATCATTGTTTCACACGAAACCACTCATCTACATTGAAAGTATTTTACACTCGCTTTAACTTACATAATAATATCATAAATATATTGATAACTCATTCGGTGATTTGTATTCATTTATAAGTTGATTCGACGTCTCTTTCTCTCTCTCTCTCTCTCTCGCCTCTCTTTTCTTATAATTATATATATATATATTATATATATTATATTATTATATATATATTATATATAATAAAGTCACACACGAACACCCTGTGATAAAAACAATCAATGTATAGGAATATAGGTTTTAAAGTATTTAGCCGTCAATTAAACTTTAAACCCCTTTTCTATACCTTGACTTTGTTTATATATATATATAGGTATATATTATTATTAGAGAGAGAAAAGAGATAGAGAAGAAGACGAGATAGATAATAATAGATGATAGATAGATAGATAGAGAGATAGATTATAATAGATAAAGAGTAGGTAGATAGATAGATAGTTAGGTAGTAGTAGATAATCGATATAGATAAATTGATGATAGATACATACATATCATACATAAGCATTTACACATTAATACATACATACTACATACATACATAATAATACATACTACAACATACATAAATACATAATAATACATAATAATACATACATAGCCATACATAATTACTACATACATACTACATATACATACATACATACATACATACATACTAATAATACATAATATATACATTACATACATTCATACTACATTACATACACTACATACCATACATAATATCTACATACATCCATACATACATACATACTACATACATCATACATAATTATCATACATAAACAATACATACACTATATAATACATCACACCCACCACACACACCACACACACCACACACCCACACACCAACCACACACACCATACCATACATACATACATACTAACATACATACATTACTAACATACATTACATACATACATACATACCATTCATACATACTAACATACATCCATAATACATTACATGAAAAGTAGATTAGATAGAGTTAGATAAGATAGATTAGATAGATAGTAGATAGCATAGATGTAAATAGATAGATAGATAGATAAAATAGAAAATAGCTGAGATAGATAGATAGATGATAGATCGATTAACAATAGATATTACATAGAAGAATATACTATATAATCATAATAAAATAATAGATAGATATTAGCATAGAAGTAGATAGATAGATAGATAGATAGATAGTATAATATGAATAGATAGATAGATAGATAGCATAAAATAGATAGCATACCATAGATATACATATATATATAGAGCTAGTAGAATTAGCATAGATAGATAAGAATGAAATACATGATAGATAGATGATAGATTATGATAGATAGATAGATAGGATAGATAGATAATAGATAGAGATAGATAGTAGAATTATATAGAAGATTATGTATATATTTATATATAGATAATAGATAGATAGATATATAGAAGATAGATAGATATATAGATGAAGATGATAGATGATAGATAGATAGATGATAATAGATAGATAGATAAATTAGTAGATAGATAAGCATTACATATATATATTATATACTATATATTATCATATATATGTATATATATATATAGTAGATAGGATAGATAAAGCTACGCGAGGAGAGGATTTAGCGGTTAGTGTCGCTCTAGCTAGTATCTAGCTGCGCTGGTGTCATTATCTAACAAAGCAATTACGGATGCGAATCATTATCCGAATGGGACTATATGCAACTTTTAAATTGTTTAAGACGTCGCGCTACTCCTCTGAACGACGAATATTGTTGACAAAAATACATAGTTGCTGCCAACCTTTACGCGGAAAGCTTGCGGATAGATCCTTGTCAAGTAGTACATACCAGAACTCGCCGTGAACGTAAAACTAGAGTTCGCAGCGCGAATCATACCTTCTTACCGTGGCTACTCATAAGACCGCACCAAAAAATAAGAAATCCAAAAACGGAGGTACACAAGATACGACGAACCACAGCTACCAGACCAAAACACAAAGACGCGCAACGCCGCCGACCATGAAACCAACCGCATTAGGGTGCGTAAAAAAGCCTGTCATTACGCGCAGGTAAGTGTACTACACATGTGCGCGAACGGCAGCAGCTCTGTTAAGGCGTGTGAAAACGCCTCCGCGGCTCAAGAGTACCTCCGCACGACCGACCAGATGTGAGATTGTGAATCGAAATCAAACGAATATATGTCCATCGCCGTCGACGTTGACTTACCGCGAGCGCCGTAGCTCTCTCGCCTCGCGAGGCGAGGGGCGACCCGAACGCCGATGCTATCACGGGTCGGGGATCAGTCTACCGCTCACGCAATTGCGCCGATTGTCGCACTTATCGCGGTTAGGCACATGGAGGAGCGTGGCGACGGCGGACAAAACGACGAGCGGTCATGGGCGAAAACCCCATATGTTCTGAGCCCGTGCGAGTCCTGACACCATCTTCTCCTCCCTGTTTATCTTCAAATTTGGCGCAGGCCGACCGGCCGGCGGCAGAATAGGCAGCAGCGCGTAGACAAACTGCAGGGTCCAGTCTTGCGGGCGAGAGCGAGAGCATCGCGAAGTTCCCCTCCCCATCGAATGTTCCCAAACACTCTTAACGATTTGTTAACACCTGTATGTGCGGCCGCATGAATCAGCCCGGCGGAGTCAAGCGAAGGTCGAGTGCGTTGCGTGGCTAATGACAACCGTGACTTTCGTCTCGGTATACGCAGCGATAGCCGCTTGCTGTCTCGCAGCGTCTGGCTTTTCTCTCTCGATCTCGATCACATCGAATCCATTCGCACCGTTTACCCACTAGCCTCGATTTTCGTCGTCTATCTCCGCGTCGCACAAGCACGTTCAGTGTGGATGTACATCAGCACGGAACTATCGAAGCTACCTCGTGCAGTATTGTGGAAGAGTGTCATGCTCGTTGCCTGGTTGGCTCAGTGACGTCGGACGCGAGCGTATTCTGGCACTGGGCGTGGACAATCCTGGCGTTGTCGCAGCGGCAGCCGCCCGAGTCGAACGTCATCCGAGGATCACTCACTCGAGCCGACACGGCCGCAACCGAAACCACGAAAACTCCAGCTCCAGGCTCAGCCTACCAGGCACGTTAAAAAACGCGTGTATGATGTGAGTGTGTTGGTGTGTGGTGTGTGTGTGTCGTGTGTGTGTGTTGTGTGTCGGTGTTTGTGTGAGACCATGTTGTGCGTGTGTGGTGTGTTGTAGTGTGTGTGTTGTGTTGTGAAGTAGAGAAGAGAGAGAGAGAGAGAGAGAGAGAGAGAGAGAGAGAGACGTCCATTCCAGTCGCAATCAAACTTATAAATGAATACCAAATCACCGAATGAGTTATCAATATGATTTATGATATTATCTATGGTAGTAACGAGTGTAAAATAACTTTCAATGAGATGAGTGGTTTCGTGTGAAACAATGATTTATTTATAATCCGCACACATCCGTCAGTCAGTGTTAATTAGAGAGTACAATTTGAGCAAGCAGTTGAAGTAAAATAATGCCTTTAACATATTGTGTTCCGAAGCCGCACGAAATACCACCATCGCAACCACGCCACGCGACCAAGCATAACAGTTCGCTGACTCTCGCTTCCGAGGAATGCTCGTATACACAAAACGTACGTATGCATCTAGAGATACAAGCACGCACCTGAACTTTACTGCGAATACTTTGCAATGCGTATACGCGTTATTCCAGTTGAGCTGTTCCATATTTTCTGAACAACAAACAATCTCTGTTTATTTAACGAAACATTGTACACAGTATAGTCCAATCCGTTGTTATTTACAAATATGTGTCACCCGCGATAGCCTATGATTATTTATACAGTCAATTATAGGACTCGTGTGACAGTATGGACAACATCGAGTGTAGGTTACGGTCATCGATCATACAAGAGCTCCTGATGATTCACCTGTTGTATATGTGTACATATATATATGGATATAGTTAAGTATATATTCCCCTGTTTCCATTGAGACGCTTGTTAATCAGACCACCAGCGCCTTCTGACGGGATAGTAGAACGCACCAACTTTTGTAAAAACCTGTCGGCAGATATGCTAACAAGTAGAATAATTACAGCAAGCCCCTCCTCATCCTCCCCATCATCCTCCTTAGGAGGAAGAAAGGTATCTCCCATTTATCTGCACACCTCTTGCCATGTGACGACAAACCTCTAGTCAAACAAGCTACCAGGCAGCGTAACACATAGCAGCCGAGGGCTGGCTGCAACGTATCAAGTGACACCTGTAAAGAGGTAGACGACCACGTGATCGAAGTAGGCCTACACGTCTGTCGCCATGATGCAAATTACGCATGGCAACGTTACGTGAATGCTTATCATCACTCGTCTATAATAAGGAATGACGCACGGTGATCTTATTATCTCATCATGGCGACACAAACGATGTCTGCGCAGACGACACAGCGGACATGAGTGCTGAGCCTGAGCGTAGTCAGTGGCGCCATCCGTCTGTCGTGCGAGAAAACACAGGTCGTACTCATAAATATAGATATATGTCCCGTATACGATTCATATTTGATACAGATGGTTTAGTTAGCGATGACGTTAATCAATACGCATTAAATACTTATAAAATAACAAGGGGTTAGCTGTCCCAAGAGCAACGCCTAGTATATAACAAACACCCCTGGATCCACCCCTTACCTTACGCAAGTTATAGTAGTGTATACTCACATTGCAGGTTTGTATGGAAATATGAAATACAAGTTGCGCGATGGGAACTTATAAGCGGAATCAGAGAAATTGTAAGTCGTCTTATTTACATCACGCTTTAAGTTTACAAAGATGTGACACAAAAACTAGCTCCAAGTACACGAATGAATTCGTACATGTATAGAAAAGATATGTGTGTTATTAGAAATCGCTGTTCTACTTATATCTATTATTAGACCGTTAGTTTCTCCGTTGATGTAATGGATATTACAATATGTATAGAATAATGCTACAATCAACCTATATATGTTTCACAGGCTGTCAGAGTAAATCAATTCGGCACAATTGAGTGCAGTCTCTAGCATAGTAATCTATCAGGACGGTGACTGATTACGCTAACTGTGTCGCTAGAGTAACCATTGATTGTGTAAAAGCTCACATCCCGTTCTGACGCCCGCAGTGCTGCAAGCTCGTTTCACAGCAGTCACTATATCTCACCAAGCTTAAATTGGGAACATCTAAATGTCTCAAGTGTACGATATATATATATATATAGGCCCATATATATATATATATATATATATATATATTAATTGGCAACACTAACCGCCGGCATTACTATGTATTATTCCGAGGATGCTGCAAGCACGCGCATGATTCGCAATTTACAATTTTTCAATTTTGATTGCGATTGCGATTTGCAACGCGGCGATCCGCCATGTATTTACGCCTTCGGAGGACACATTACGCTCATTTTGATTTAGGAATGGCAACTAAGGTCTCAGTTTCGTAAACTGGTCGTTGAACAACAACGTCGATGTCAAACTTCTCGTGGTTGATTCACTAACGAACCTAACCGACGAGGTGTTATAGAGCGGACGCGACGAGCGGGAATGCCCGCGGTATAATAGTGATAATAGTAACATTTACGCGCTCATCACACGCTGGCTTACCTCTACCCGTGAAGCCGATTGCACCTCCACAGGGCTATAGTAAAACGCTACGTGGAAAACCAGTGACGAATCTTAGCTAACTAGCGTCGCCGTAATGTAAATTTTAATATGACCGCGTCTGTTCGTCATATGGTTGTTTGCGTTCTATAAACGGCCAAATTTGGCGAAATTAAGGTAAGTGGAGTTGGAATTTTGAGTGGTAGGCTAAAGCCAATGTGTTTATATTGGAGACTGGAATGATTTTTTTTATTGTACTACGGACTACAGCGTAACCGGTCATGCTGCAAAGATTCATCACTGATTTTCCGCATATTCTTTCGTATAGCTCTGTGGCGAAGCGAATGACTACACGGGGAGAGCTAACGCGGGCTAATCTTGCGCCCACATTCTCTGATACAGTCGACTATTGAAACCGTTTTCAGCAAACAGCTTCAGCAGCTTCTACATTATCCTCCCTACGTGACATGACTTTATCATGCCAGTACACGTCAATGGCAAGCTACATGTTCATTAAAACAAAATAATTACACATATATATCTATATATCTATATATAATGTAATATATAGGAAGAGAGCACGTAAGGGAAATTCGCTGGTGATTTGATTAGCAATTGGGGCAAACCTTTTATCTAGTCGTTTCGAAGTCGTTCGAGCACTTACATATATAAATATAAAACCTAATCATAACGTAGCGAGCGGAGGGTTTACAGCCTCAGTAAAAGTTAACCAGACGTCACGCCCGTGACACGGTTACGGTTTACGAACACGACTCTCTCTGTCTCTCACGCTTCTTCGCTTTTCACTCATTCACTCACTCTCTCTTTCTCGCTCACACTCTCACACTCACACACACACACACACACAATCGCACGCACTCGCGCACGCACGCACGCACGCACGCACGCACGCACGCACACACACACACACACACACACACACACACACACGTATACATTTCTTTACTCTATATCTCTCTCACTCTCCCCCTTCCACGCACCATCTCTCCCTTCCCCTTTCTCTATCTCTCGCTTCATCACCCTGCTCACTGTACAAGCCGAAACAGTGAGCTTTAAAAGTCGGCTTGGATGTCCGATTTAGGATGGTGATGTCCGTTTTCTTTCTTGCTAGATCTCTGCAGCGTACCGCTGGCGCTGCTGGTGCCGCCACTGGCGCCATTGCTCCTGCCGACGACCTCTCCGTTCATGATCAGATGGTGAGCCCTGTTCGGACTGCCGAAATTGCGGGGCAGAGTGCCAAGCTGCGACTCCAAGTCGCGCCTATCGTTGTGGTGCCAGGTCTCTGAGTCGTCGCGCATGCGCTCTGACATCTTCGACCTGAGCGTGTCCATGCCGTTGAGGTCGAACACCTGGTGGCCGTTTCCGCGTCGCTTCACCTCGGCCGACGAGTGCGGTCGGGCGCTAAAGTGTCCGCTCGGCTCGTCCATGTCGTAGTGTTCGGCAGGCTCTGCAAAACAAACGTTCTGCGTCGTATATCGAGGATGTGGTGGTGGGAAGGTGGGTGGGTGCGTGAGGGTGGGGGTGTAGTTGGTTTACACCGACATATAGTGTCGTGTTGCCTACATATAGGCTCCCTGTGAAGGTTTGTTCCTGTAAATATACGCGACCTCATAAACATATATGTTTGCGATACATTGAACCTGCTTCTGCATGCAGACTCTTTGCATAGAGAGGTTCGTCTACGTATAGGCGTCATATTAAACGTATATAACGTATTAAACGTATTAAACGTATACTCGCTCTACATTTAGCCTGCCTCAGTAACACGCCCTGCATAGTTTCCCAAGCCCCCTGCATATGCATTCGAATAATGGCGATAATTCGAATGGTGAATATATATATATATATATATATATATATATTATATACATTTGCTGAATTTGGAAGGATTTTTTTTTGATTATCCGATGGTTGTCAGCATCACTAGCACCGCTACGGTGTATGCTTGCAGCGCATTCTACTCGCCGAGTTATAGTTTCATTAAAGAAGAAAAAACTCTGGAAAAAAAAGAATTTCATCGTTAGGTTTGCATCGTTAGGTTTTCGCTATTATGAGATTGTCGATGACGTGTAAGTCTGTGCCCCTTAATCAGAAGAGCAGTTGAAGAAAAAAAATTGGCAGGAACCATAATTTCGGACACAATAGCTCACAGCAGAGAGTCCGCCGACACAGACCAAGGACACGAAAGAACAGAACGCGGCCATTCATCCAGTACAAATACACGTACCATACACACAAGCAAGCACGTATGCTAGCTAGCTTGCTTGCATGCACGCACGCACACACAGGAACGCACACACGCAAACAAGTACGCAATCGCACAAACAAGAACGCACATTCACACACAAAAACCCACGCACGCACGATAAATTTATTCTGACCATGGAACTTTCAATGAAGAAGTTTGTCGCAGTGGAGATAAACATATATAGTCTAGATGTGTATACGTGATGACGTGTTGGCCTTTATTTGTGTGCATTCATCTCGCTTGTAAGATATAAGCGAAAGGTTGATGCACCTGTAATTATCAACTGAGTTTAATTATAGACCTTCGAGTTGTGCCGGCGGGTAAAATGATAATGAACGTTTCAATAACGAATTTCAAGTGGCATTGAACGGTTCACTTCTCCGTTTTCCTTGACTTAAATCATTGGTTTTATTCCTGTTTCTGTAGCCGATGGAGCCAGAAAAAAACATCGAAGGGGCCCGACACACACACACAGAGACCGCGCAACCATTAGATATTATCAGGAGTGAATAATGATAGATTATTATTATTATCTATTATTATTCACTCCTGATCTTATCTGTATATAAGTGCGACTTAAAAAAACCAGCGTATTCATGAAACCTTTACTTATCATTCTTAAATAGCAGACTTAATGGATTAAGATGGATAGGAACGGTAACAATTCGCCAACGTCAATCGAGATATGAATACTAAACTCTGAGAATGAAATGGAGCATGACCACTTGCTGTTACAAAGACAGGAAAATCACGCTCGCCCAACAATCGATTTATTCATTAACGAATGCATGAATCTGGAACACTACGAATTGTTGGGATACCTCAACATTATCTTACATGACACTCCCAGGGGTTGTAATTGCTGCAGAATCGCTAGAAGCAACATCTGTAATCTGTTTCACGCCGCCAATGCATGTGTGTGTGTGTGTGTGTGTGTGTGTGTGTGTGTGTGTGTGTGTGTGTGTGTGTGTGTGTGTGTGTGTGCGTGTGTGTGTGTGTGGTGTGTGTGTGTGTGGTCGTGTCGTGGTGTGTGG